GCGGCGGTGCTGTGCCCCCTGCTCTGGGTGACCCTGCTTGGGCAGGGGGTTGGGCTGGGTGACCCACAGAGGTCCCTGCCAACCCCTGCCATGCTGGGAGTCTGGGATTTCAACCAAAAGCAATCTGTTCTCTATAAAGCACTCACACTGAGCACTAAAAACCACAAGAGCAAAGAATCCAACCTGACAGGATCCTGACTACCATCCTCATTCTCTTTCCGCATATGTCCACCCTGAGTTTTATTCCAGAAGGTTAAAAAATAATGGTTTATGTGTGATGTTTAAAGACAAAAATTTAAGTAATGCACATTCCGTACTAGATCTGGGGTAGAAAAAGGTGAACTCTAAACCAAACTGAGAACATAGCCTAGGGCTAACAACCTTTTCCTCAACTTTATTACACTTCAGGGGTTTTCATTTCTCTTTCTTGACTAATACAAAGCCTCGCACGAATGTTTTTTTCAGTGTCTTCCACCACCGTAAAAAGATGAGACTGAAAACAAAATCGTATCTTCTACTGTATAAATTCCCTGCTGTAACCCAGATTAGATCCCAAATCGAAATGTGGGGACAGATGTCGCACGCTCTGTCCCACGAAGCGATGGCGGGAACGATGCTGACACGCTACCGCAAACCAGTGGCTCCCAGCAAACTCTTCCATACAGCTGCCGAGCCGGACCGCGACGCTCATCAAGCCCCAAAGCTGTAACGAGCTCCCGGGACCACGGAAGGGGTTTGCACGCGCAACGGCAGTCAACAACACCACCAGATCTACCACGTCCTATGCTTTAGTGATTATTTTCAAAGGAATCAGAGAAGGAAGCGTCTACGAACTCCTTAACTTCACCTTTCTCCTGTGAAAAGCCTATTGTGCTTGTCTCTGCGTGCTTAAATATCCTCCGGAATAGCTTGTGGCTACATTAGCAACAGATACGTAGCTGAACGATGCAAATTAAAGCAACGTAAATGAAATCTCAGCATAGAAAGGGAGAATTAGATAGACAGAGCCGAGCACTCGTCGTGCAGGAGACACGGTAACCTTCTTCTAATAACTGTTGAGACCATCCTCAGGAGTTGCCTGTCTTTGCTATAGAAAGGACTGAATTTAAATTTTCTCCCCCTTTTTTGCAATATAACATTAGGTCTTTCATTAAATATTGAAACAAATTCATATTTTAAAGGTTTTGTAATACTGTTTGCCTAGCAGAGGAAATAGCTCTTCATTTAAACACTTTCTAACTTATTACCTTTTTGGGGACTTCACTGTAAGAACTCAGCCCGACGACTCCTCACCTTACACCCATGCAATGGAAAAACCAAGCACTAACACGATTCAGTGCCTGTTGCAGTGCCCTACCTTCAAGCAGTCACTCAAATCTTCCCTTCTTCATCCCTCCATTGACATCTCATCAGGAGCTTGGTATCACAGAATCACAGAATGTTTGGGGTTGGAAGGGACCTCTGTGGCTCATCTAGTCCAACCCCCTGCCGAGGCAGGGTCACCTACAGCAGGTATATGTTTTTCCAGTCTGACCTGCTTCCAACTTTTTTCTCCACGGTCATCCTGCACATCTGCCACCGATTTCTCTTCATTTACCGCAAACTCGGGAAGACAAATGCCTGAAGTCCAGTGGTTTGGGGTGAACCCAGTCTCATGGAGGCCACCTTGCCATGATCCCTACCAGAGCCGGCACAAGGTGGCCAAGGCAGACAACAGCTTTCTATATTTAAATGCACAGTAAAATCTTCATGATGATTAACCAACAGGTTATTTTAGAGGACAAAATCCTATTAATGTTGTCATTTGACTTCTTCTGAATGCAGTCACATAGAATTCATTCATCTACACCAGAAACCACTCTCTAAAATTCTCCTTCCAGAAAGGTCAAGGTACAAACTCTATCCAATCTACACTTCAATATTTAAATAAAATTGTCTTATCAAGTGCCAGAAAGGAGTTTCTAAAACATTCAGGACTGTATGAAAGCAGATATAGAACATCTACATTGCACAGATATTAAGGTGGAGCTTTGAACACATGCCAAAAAAAAAATCAAAGCAGGAGAGAAGTAGACTCTTGTCCAAGCCACCCTTGTGCTGGAAGGCACCAAATTGCTGTTATTTCTAGTGTAGGAAGATAGCCGTGCATTCATGAGCTCCTTCTATCACCCGAGCACTGCTGGAGTCTGCAGTCCTCTCACAACGGTGATACCGGGTGGTGAAACACTGGCCCAGGTTGCCCAGAGAAGCTGTGGCTGCCCTCTCCCTGGCAGGGTTCAAGGCCAGGTTGCATGGAGCTCTGAGCAACCTGGTCTGGTGGAAGATGTCCCTGCTGATGTCAGGGGGGTTGGACCCAGATGATCTTTAAGGTCCCTTCCAACCCAAACCATTCCATGATTCTATGATTCTATATTTTTGAAGAGACTATTATTGACAGAGCTTTTCTTTCCCCCCCTAAGCCTCTAGCGCTTTGACTGCGAGACCCAAGTTCCCCCGAGCTACAGTATCTCCAACAAAGCGGCATGCATAAATTTGATGGGGGAAAAAGAAAGGGCAAAGAAAAATGGGGCAAAATGCCTTTGAGGAACTCTCCGCCCCGCGGGGTATCAGACAGGTCTTGCAGCAATGCAGCCAGCCCTGCTGATCTACCAGCAGCAAGAGCTACCAAAGTCAACGAGCAGATTCTGTAAATGAAGGAGCTCAGAGTATTTGATGCTTCTTTCCATTTGCTGTTGACCACTCTCCTCCACACGAGCACATTCCCAAGCAATTTCACGCATTAGGTAAGAGCTGACGCATACAACTGGCAACGCAAATATAAAGAAGGAAGTCTTAACGCAATAGCACGCGTAATAGCTAATTACATTCAACAGCAGTCTGAAGGAAGGAGTCTTCCAAGGCTGATTTTGTAAGGTGCTTACAAGATCAGAAGAACACATGGTAAACATAACCCACAGGGAAAACCACAGATACACCTATGCTGAGACTTTCTTTCTCCGAAGCACTATTTCTCTCTGAGCTAAATTCTTTCCGTACCAGCACACTTTAGTTCCCCACTAGTTACATAATGATGGTAAACGTATTTCAATGCCTTTTTTGAGTATTAAAGATGACATTTTTAGACAACTCCGTTCTAAAGATGGACTTCAAACAGGTATTGGACTTGCTGTTCAACGTAAGATGAACTCAACCAAAGCATAAGTCGTTAACTCAACCAAAGCATAACTTGAACACAAAAAAAATATCAGTCGATAATGGAGTTTAAATCCCCGCCTAGGACAATAACGGCACGTTCACCAAACAACAGGCCTGTGGGATCCTCATGTCTACAGCAGGATTAGTCCAGCACGTGCACCCGAGCCGCTCAGTTCAGCTCTGAAGGCAAGCCCTCTGACTCCCTCTGTCTCCCTTCGTTAAGGGATTAACCACTCATTAATGATCATCTGCCCTCACCACCACACACAGAGATTCACGAAAGAACACGGGTCCTACCTGTGTACGCCATGTTCTTCGGGTTTCCGTAGGGAGCCCCAGGTTGGACGGGGCTGTAAACAGGGTTCATGGTGGAAGACCGGGAACTCTGAGGACAAAAGAAAAGCAGAGATGAGACAACGGCCTTAAGTTAGCTCCGGAGCTGTCTTCCGTGCAAAGAGTCTTCTGCTACGTGCTGGCATTACCGTGTTGGAATTCAAGACGCAGAGAGCTGTGAAGGAAAGGATTTACAACTAGACGTTACAACCAGACAGCATATTTAATAATTCAAGTTTCAGATCTCTCAGTTAATTCCCCTAACTTCTTCAGCGCTGCACAACCTGCCTACAAATGTACCCGGAGCAGATTAATCTTACACATCCCTGTCTTCCAGGGGGCTCCAGACTCATGACCCCGCTTCCAGCTTGCGACGAACAAAGAGGAGAAGCCACAAATTCATACAAGGAATCATCCCCCTTGGAGGAGCTGATAGTCCTCGGGTGACAACACCAATCACAACGAAGACCCGGCCTGTCAGAAATTAGCAGATAAAAGGACCATTTGCTGCTGGCGAGATGGAAACCGGCAAATATTTGGGAGCTTCCAGCGTGAGCTGACTACAGTCACCTCGAGCCGGAGGCTTGGGTCCTGTGAAAGGCTGCACCGGGCACCCAGGGCCACCCACTGCATCCCACCAGCGTCCCAGACTGGGAGATGTGGTCACAGCCCTAACGTGGGCAATAAGATTTTAACAGCCCTTCTGTTTCTCCAATAAAGACAACGAAGCAGTGCCGGGTTAGCTTCTTGTGAGTTTTATTTAGAGGAAAGCAAGTAACTTGGGAATTTGTGTCTACTAACCGTCAGTTAAGCAACTGGCTCAGTTAATTATCTTAATGAAGCACATTCTCACTCCTGATTAATGGGGAAATCAGTCATTAAGTTTTATTAGGCGACGCATTTGTCTGCACAGTTATCTAGTGACAATTTCACACAAGAACCTCAACGATCTTGCTTCAAAATGTGGGGTTTGGTTTTTTTAAATGTATTATTTTACAGTTCATAAACAAAACTGTTCTTTCCAAACAAGTCTCTCATGATGGACGCACAATTTGTTAGGTCGTTAACTCCTTCCGCTTCACCTCAGGATAGTAAACAAGTCAAATGTTAAATGTTAGCACCAATTGACTTGACAACAATTACTGCTTAATTAATTAGCCTTCCCTCCACCCCCAAGTTAGCACCAAAGGAGCAATTCTCAAAGCAAGGAAAACCATGGTTATAAAGCGAGCTGGAAGAGAAAGCCACACAGAGACGCGAATTTACACCACCAGCTTCAGTAAGGCACATGGAGCTCTTAAGAAGGTCAACAAGGAACTCCGTGTAAACTTTCCCTCCATGAGACATTACAGACGGGGATTTACACCCAGGCGTAAGGGTTTTATGGCCATTTGGTCATTGTAGCCCCAGGCAGTGCTCCCAGTTTCGGCGAACCCGCCCCTGGCATATGGGTGTTTGCCTTCAAGCTTGAGTTCTCACTACAGGAGAAAACCCAACGTCCTTCATCTCTGAGACAGTGAACATCAGCTCCTGCGACCGTCTGTCCGAAAGCCTGGTTCTTGGGCTGGCCTATGGATCCCACCGAACACAGGAGGCTACTCCAGCGTAGGATGTGGCAGACACGGGACGCACTCAACCTCAACCTGTGGGCAAACCAACCTGCTGTGTGTCTGCATACACTGTATGACACCCACCTACCGCTGCTTTAAAAAAATACAACTTCTTCATAGAAAGCTGAACTTCCAAACTCATCTATATTCATAGAATCACAGAATCCTAGAATCATAGAATGGTTTGTGTTGGAAGGGACCTCAAAGATCATCTGGTTCCAACCTCCCTGCCATCAGCACGGACATCTTCCACCAGACCAGGGTGCTCAGAGCTCCATCCAACCTGGCCTCGAGCACTGCCAGGGAGGGGGCAGCCACAGCTTCTCTGGACAACCTGGGCCAG